CACGAATAGCGAAAGCCAGAGAGGCTTATGTCAATCTGGGACACCTTTGGCGCCTTCGTGATGTTAGTCTGGCTGTAAAAGGTCGGATCTACAACGCGTCGGTGAGAGCAGTTTTGCTCTATGCTTGTGAAACCTGGTCTCTCCGAGTTGAGGACGTTAGACGACTCTCTGTGTTCGATCATCGCTGTCTCCGAAGGATTGCTGACATTCAGTGGCAACACCATGTCAGTAATGCAGAGGTTCGGCATCGTGTGTTCGAGCACAGAGATGATAATTCAATTGGTGTCACCAGTAGCAATTGTCATTTCATTTGATTTGTGTGTGGGCTGTGATACTGGCCGGGTGCCTAAACCGAAGTAGGTGGTTTTCTTAAGAGGCCATACCCGGAGCCTTCGACCTAAAAGTCTGATCTATAAGGCAATGGAGCAACGTCATCAGATGCAGTCCCATGGTAGCCGATGACCAACAACAGGTTCATACGCTTATTGTTCCCTCAGCATCCTGGAGCCCATCTGGGAATCGCAAAGTGGATGTGCTTGCATCCCAGTGTTGAGAGACTCAGACCAAAAACATATTGCTTCAAAACTCAACGTGTTAAACACTGAGCTACCGTGTCAAGATATCCACTAGCTCATACAACAGAAATGGATTTAATTATTTATTTGTAAGTGTTCAAGTTTTCCCGTTGTCGATGTTAAGGACTGGATTTTTGCCAGTAGTCTGATTCGTAATTACTTCAATATTTCTCTCAGCCTGGTATCTCTATCGATTTCCATTTTTAATTTCATGATTTCGACTGACGTATAAGCCAATTAACGTTAGTATTACATACTAAACAGTTGAACAGTTAGAATTTTATTTTACTTCCAATCTTAAATTCATATCCCATAATTTTAAAAATGTAGTTGCTTTAAATATGATCTTCCGTTTAGATCACTGATTTGAATACATAATTAACTGTAGAACATGAAGAAAATCTATAAAAAACAGTATTTTTAATCCACATATGTATATTGTAATTTTATATTTATTAGGCTCACTTTAATTGGTGTTATTTCATTGTGAAAATAACCAGCTTTCAGAGCGGCTGCATATTTTTCTTGTGATCTTAAAGCGAATAAATCTTGTTCTTCTCGGCTAATTCCAAATCTTTCATAATCATTGATAAATTCAATAAAAGTTATAATGAAGAAGGGAAAAATCAATGAATACATAAAATATATTTTAGTCTCAGCACGTGTATGATTTCCAGAAACCTTCAGAAAGTTAAATCACTTGAACTAGACAAGATACGTGAAAAGTGAACGTATTAGTCTTTTGTCAGTAGTGGCAGTAGTAGTAGTAGTAGTAGTAGGTAATAGTAATACTGACAGTGCAATTTCATCTCAGTAACAGAATGACGATATTACGATGAAGTAAGATTTTTAGATTTATCACAAAATAGACATTTGCTCCACTATGAAAAGAATTCTCTGTGTTCAACAAGTTTTGCTTTCGACAACAAAAAAATTAAGTAAGGAGACAGACAAAAAAGTCAAAGGAATTAAGTACTTCAAGAAGAGATGTATTCAGGCAATTAACATTTAAATTGCGATTAAATTAGGATGTATGAATAGAATTAGTCCACTAGGATAGTGCAAACAATTGTTTGCATATTTACGATTTACAGAGTTGATAAAAAAAACTTCAGTTTATTACGTTTGAAATGAACGAGAAAACAATGATATACTAAGTAGAGTAAACGATTCACTATTCCCAAGAAGCATAGACATTTTGACGTGAGCTAATATTTAGTGATTAATTAATCACACAAATATGCTGTTCTTAGGTTTGACGAAAGTCAAAGGTAGTCAAACCACAATGTGATGTTAGACCATGATATAACTGACTGTTAACCTGAATAGTGTAAAGGGATCGCAGAGGATCGGATTGAGGTCCATAGAGTAACCGTGATTAGAGATTGGAAACACAGGATGATTTGATTTAAAATATAGTGAAAGGTGAAAATTCATTCATTCTTTATTATCTCTTAGATTCCAAGTTTTAGTATAATTTCATAAATTTCTTTACTTTATGAACCACATTCACGATGTTTAGTTTCTCACAGCATCAATAAAAACTGGTATTGTTTAGACTCGTTTACCATTCCTCCGGTTAATTTTATCTCTGTGCAGGTGTGGTATAACAACCTGAGCAAATGAGAAATCGTTGCAGATCCTACATTGATTATAACTGATATCTATAACCAGCGAATACCACAAACTAGTGTACCAAAACTATTTACACCCTTGTTATACTATATGAATATGTCTTTAATATAACTTCCAATCAAACTCTTTTATGTAAGTAATTTTAACCCATTAATTATGATTTTAAATATCACAGGTTGTAAGCAGCTGACGAGAACCAACGAAATAAAAATGAATTCATGCTATTCTGCTAGAATGTTTGTTCTTGCTCTTTTCAAAATGATAAAGGGAACTATGTGTATAAAACTATAAAGGCTTGATTCTCATTGAAAACAAGATTGTTGATAAGCGAAGTTAGACGATTGCTGGTAGTTGAATCTAGGATGAGCGGTTCTCTCTATTCGGGACTCGTCAGCTGATGCACCTGGATACCAGAGTTGATGTTCACTTCTGGAATCGGACCGGGTAGCGTCCGCTTCAAACTCCAAAGCGTTATCCAATTACCTTCTGAGTTCAGATAGCTATTGGCTTATGCAATGGCGTGAATTTTAACTTATTTATATTAGCTTTTTAAATTTTCCTATTGATGACTAAATGACAATACAAGGGTAATCTACACAAGATCTTAAAAGAGACATATTAATTGCAGTCATAAACATCTATGGAAAGATTCAAACAACCGATATCAAAGATATCTGAAGTTATAAATATATTTTACTGATAAACGCCAAAAACAGCATAAAAACAGTGTGCTTTACAATCGGATAAGATACAAACATTTATATAATCACTAAGTTACATGAATTAACATAGTTGTTGTTATTAATTAAACAACTCATTTATCCATAACTCAAAATATGCTACATCAAGCTAAAATATTTCTTACCTTTTTGCAACATTTTCAGCTGTCCCACCCATAGGGAGATTACAGAATGCATCCATTAAAGCATCATTCATAATTGTATCTAGTAAACTGAAACTACCATAATTTGGAAGTTCTGAGGTATTTTGACCCCCTGCACGACGTAGACATGCTCTAGGAGGAGTCGCATGTGGCGCTTGACTCATTGACTCTTGTCCACCAGCTATTATCCAACCCCCATCCACCGAGGAAGGAAGACTTAACCGATCAAAACCTAAACATACAGATTTCAAACCTGATCCACACATCATATTTACACTCCAGGCAGGCACACAATAAGGAATTCCTACAAGGTGTTTAAAAAGTATATATTACTCAATATTATTTACTTACATACAATCCAAAAATATCAGATATTATCAATTGAGGGATATTTATTTATTTATTACTGTTATGATTTATTTGTTTATTTATTAATTAATTATTATTATTATTAGCTTTATTCAATATTATATTTTTGGTACAATATAGAATTCTCAGTACAAAATATTTCCACAAATTTCGCTTCCTTATTGCTTGATTGATCCTGACGATCAATATTGAAATCTTTCAGTGATACTGAGGAATCATCTTATGAATCATTTAATCAGGATTCTTGAATTGTGATCATACCACAATTACGATACATGCTTAGACTTATTAGGAGTTGAAGACAGTCTACATTTCCAATTAGTGATCGCCAGTTAGACATAATATGAAACAGGAAGGGAATGAGTTAACTATCAGTCGACAAATAAGCAAATATATAGTGTAAATAATGCCAAAACAGTAGAAGTAGAATGAAATCATACTATTTAGCCGTAACTTTTGTTTTGGCTTTATTCAAACAAATATAAATTTCCAAAAGTAAATTAAAATGTTAAGATAAACAAAAAAAGAATTCAACAGTATTTTTAATAGGTATATCAATCTATTTTCGTCCATCATTCTGGAAAATAACCGAATTTCTCTTGTGTGAGAATTTCTAGAGGCTTAACCACTCAAGTCAATCAGCAATCAACAAACATCAAAATCAATCCAATCCATCAACTACTCGGAAAAATCATGAAAAAATAAAGAGGACCAAAAATCAGATCAGAGGGAGATATAATCAAAAATAAAGAGGTAGATCAAGATCGGCAGGACAAGCTGTTAGTCATACGTGGAGAAATTTGAATGCTTTACTTCTACTTGAAGTATGAGCTGATGATGTTTAGAAGAACGATGAATGCTCCACGACTAAACCGTCCAGTTCAGAGAATGAAGCCTCACCAAAATTACCCATTTGTGCTACAAATGTTCACTATGACAGAACTAGACGAGGAATTGTCTACTTATTTAAAGCTGAAATACAATCATATATCTGAAAATAGTGATATATAAATACCTGCTAATATAGCAGCTTGTCTAGCGGGATTCTGTCCAGTAGATGTTGTCAACACTTGACCAAGAATCACTTCTTCCAAATGTTCCATAATGTGATTTTTTAATTCTTTTGGATTGGTTGAATTTTCCACAACATTATCTAACACAGATGAAATTACTTGACTGCCCAATTGATGAGCTGATAAACCGGATAAACAACCAGACATTCGGCCGATAGGACTACGTAATGCGCTAACAATGAAAACACCGGAACCATTCATCTAAAATAATATACATATGCACACATTGAATAAGTATAGGATTTAATTTTGACTGTTAAAGACAGTAAAACTTTGTGATATAGACATAAATATTAGAATACAAAAACAGAGATAGATGGAATATATTTGTATATTATAACGTATAAATGATGAAACATTTGATAACAAATGAATGATGAACAAAGATATCGTATTTACAAGCAAAAAAGTTATGATTATTAGTTCGAAAAAACAAACATCCATTATGCTGATAATCCAATATCCTTATGATGATACATCTTTTGAGGTAGCTTTTACATCCGTAAGAGAAGTTGTACTGGTACAAACTGATGTAATGGTAGAATGGTACATACAACGAATGAAAGGATTCCATGCAATGACCGGTTCTGAACAATTCTGAGATGACCCACCACCACAACGACGAAATAAATACTAAATAAACAAGAAAACACAGGCGGATAAGAAAAGTAAAACAAGACATATTAATAAGTAAATAAATTATATATACCATTTGGCTGGTGCTATTAGGTAAGACAGATTATTAAAAGCTAGGTGAAACTATGTATTTAAATTTCAACGAAGTTCCACGTAAAATATCCATAAAAAGACAAACACTGTCACTTACTTGTGGTGGAATTTGCAAAGTTGGAGAAATAGGATTACTTACACAGGGCTGATCAGAATGTCCTTTGCTACTACGATTTAAACGCGGAGATTGGGATTTAGTGATATGATCATCAAATTTCATTGATTTATTAAAATTTGGTGTGGAAAATTCACCGTATAATGAAGGATTACAAATATGATTATTTGAAATGGTTGTATTAGGTGAAATATTTGATGATTCGACATCAATTGTAGTATTATCACTATTTACATGACATTCGATGATTGGATTTTCAGATTTAACATTAACATGTTCGCTGTAGCCATTTGAATTCGACTCATCAATTGATAGTTTTTGTTCATTTGATGAATTTCGATCGTAATCTGGTGCAGGTCTCATTTGCACTAAATGATGAGAGCATACAGGTAATAAAGGGACACATGCATTTGTACACCGTTTTTCCCAAGTTGTTGTTGTAGGATCACGAAAACGACATTGCTGACTTGCATTAGGTGGCCTACACCATTTTGCTATACGATTACTAACTATAGCAAATTTAGATACACAGGCTAAATGTCTCTGATTCGCAGTCTACAAAAGAAATGAAAAGAATGTAAAAACAATGCGCTGATTAGGCAAAATTCGTGATATATTAAACATTTCATTACTTTTATAACGCCACAACATAAACTAAATAGATTTATGTATTTGTTTACCGAAGTATGGAATGCATCCAGTCTTTGATTGGATGATATTAAATGCTAATATATTATCGTTTAAAATTCTACACAGTCTATGTATGTTCAAAAAATAACTATTAAAACCTTGTCATTTATAGTAATATTAACTGTTAATTAATGTTTTACTCAATTTTATCTGTAGCTAGTCGATTACAATACCTAAAATTTATATCGTTTATTTAGATCCTAATTCATATACATTGGTTGTTCAAATCTTCCCATTGTTGTTTAGGACTGTAATTGATCAGTCTCTTTTGGCATATGTATAATCTGCGTGAATTGCCTCGTTGTTGTCACTGAATCACAAGAGACTGATTAATTGCAGTCCTAAGCAACAACGGGAAGATACAAACAACCAATATAAATAAATTAAAATTTACCCCATAGCACAAGGTAATAGCTAAGTGAAAAACGCGATGGTATTCGAAGCGAACGGTACTGAGTTCCAGTCTCGGAGTGGACGTCAACTTTGGTACGCAGGTACATCGAGCTGAGTCTCAAACAGGTCGAAATGTGCATTCTGGATTCTACTGTTAGCCACTATATATCTCTACTTTATTCATCTGTAAACTACTTACCATATAAAGTGGAAATAGTTGGAAGCTATTAAATAGAAATCTCCATCTCTAATATCGTTAGTATTTATCAACAAATATCGAATAAGAAGTGCTTTAAATATTATATCACCAAATCTATTGAGCACATGACACTCCAAAAATATTGATACGTGTCAGTTGGTAATTCTGACAACAGCTTGTAGTGTCTGGTACTATTTCAAGTTCGCATAAGTTATTCTAGCCTTTGTACAGAACAATCTATTCATGCTTCTCAAGCCTTCTTTCTACCCTGTCACTTGTCCGCTTATTAACCCTAACTGCTTTTTATATGATCGTATGTGTCAAATACTTACCCTACTCATCATGTGTCTGTAACTTATTTTAATTTGATTATAAGTATTGAGTCACGTTTGATCAAATCGAGTTGGGTCACATGCCCTCTCTGATTCGTTTCGTTTGGTTTCACTCTCCCCTCTTCGCTTCATTTCTCTGCTTGTTTGTCCAGATCGACGATTGTGTGAAACATAAGTATTCGAAATTCATTCTCCTATTTGACTTATTTAATCCCCTTATTCCCTAGCACGAGCTAAGTCGATGATTATATATGAGATCAGCCGGGATGTATATTTCGATGATAATCAGCATACGATCTAACCAGAGTCAGATACAGGGCCACCAAAATCTAATTGATGAATTTTTAACCTGTAGAAAGATATTCAAAAAACGAGACACCTATCATTGATGTAAGGTAGGAATATAGACTGGGATAACAACAAACGAGCTCGTCTATTTCATAGGTGATTTCGAATTATTCTAATATGAACGAGGTGATAAAAGTGATTATCACAATTATCTCAAATAATTTCTTATCGAGTTCCAAGTGAAAAACAAATTGTAATTAGTTTCAACAGTAACAGGAAAATTCCAAATTAAGACTATTATGGAAAAATAAGGAAATAAGAGGTGGCTAGCAGTAGAATCCACGATGCGCGATCCGTCCCACTTAAGGCTCATCAGCTGAGTGTACCTGTATTCCACAGTTGATGTTCACTCTAGGATCCCAACTTAAAATCTTTCGCTTTAAACGCCAACGCGTTGTCCGATTGGCTCCTGAGTTTAAATAGCTATTGGCTTGTGCCGAAGTGTCCCGAAGTTAAAATCAACCCTGAAATGCTGGTACACCCAGCTGACGTGTATCATTAAATAGAACGAAACGCATGTTCTGGTTTGCACTGTTAGCCACAGTTTATCTATGCTTAAAATGCTTGTCACCTGATGGTAATATCGAGACAATTCGCCCAGGACGCACGTTAGCTAAAGGAAATTAATCAATTTTGATCCTAAACATCGATGAGAAGATTGAAACAACCAATTGTAAACGAATTAAACTAAGGGAATGCTACTAACAGTAGAAGTTCCTACCATAACTATATCTTATATCAGTGAGTATATTGAAAAATCTGTGATTTCTATGATTTAGTGTATATTTCAGTATGCATTCATTGAAAATAGGAACAAATTGAAAATTACCTTAACAGAGTGACGCAACATTTTCTGAGCAGCACGTTGTCTAAGTTGACTACGACCTGGTAAAGTAGATATTGTATCTAAATGAGAAAAAATTATTATTATCATTATTACTGATAAATTATGGAGTTAGATGATATCTACTTAATGGACAAAAAATACATCAGACAAATTTAAGTTAAAAATTATCATGAACTCTATTTATGTAAAATTACGAAAGATATACTCATTCAAATTTAGAAATGAGGCGTTTTCTATTTACTGACGATAAACAACTATATAACAAGATAGAACTATTGACAAAGTAATTAGGAAGGGAAAAGAAACAGGGTCATTTCATAGAATAGCTCAATTCAACTGTGTATTCGGAAAAAATCGACTACATGTCTTTTTCTGTTTATTGAACTGAAAATAAATCAAAGTCTCCAATCAAAATGCCGACTTATATGACCTTTTCCCCGTGCTAAACTAATGGTGTGTTAGCCATCACGAGCAGTCTTGAGTTAACACTGAGTCTTTATTGGTCTTCCGTATAGCAACTTCTCGCCTAACACAGCCGGTTTAGGACACAGTACTAGCCTCCACTGTGTGAATCGTATATTTCAGACACACGTGGTTTATAAGCATGCAGATCAAACCGCATCACATTACAAAATGAAAAGTGAAAAGTGTACAAGATCAAGCCAAAAGTGGTTCTGAGTATTAGATAATGTAACTAATAAATTGGGCATAAGTTAAAGATGGTAAATCGTATAACAGTATCCAGTAGATTAAATGAAAGTTTATGAATACACATATAATCTAGTTACTTAATTATCTAATAAGAATACATGTAATAATATTCCATAAATAATACCAAACAGTTAATATTCACTTATTTTTCATTCGGATGTAACAAGTGCTGATACTACTGAAAACTAATATAAACTCTTGGATCGTATTTTATTTTGATGAAGACTTTTTAAGAAGCCTATAGCACAGATAGAAGCTGACTCACAGGTTTAGTTCATTATTAAATGATTCTAGTGTTCTTTTTCTTGTTGACAAGCAAATATCATCAACATGGACTAGAACTGACAGACAAACAACTAAAAGCCAGAGAGCACTGGGCAAATTGTTTTTGGTATAATTTGAAGCTTTCCATCGACTGTCACCCATGACTCAACACATATTTAGTAAGTCTTGAGGCAAAATGTACACCAACTACACAGTAAATCAGAACCCAGTATTCCGAATGGTGAAGTTTAACTATAAGATAAAGTTAGCTAAAGCAAAATTACTTTTCTTCGACTGTTTGGTAAGAGAATGAGTACATGAACACTTTTGTATTAGTATCTACAGCTTAGGTAAATGATTTCGTCGAAAAGAAAATTTTCTTCGCTAAATTCTCTTTTTCTAAAAAACTATTTATTCAAACAAATACCTTTAAATTATGTCCTAACACGAAGTTAATACGAGAGTGTCTATTATCTTCACACTTTAAAAGTGGGCAAAATGAACCGATAATGTGTTGAAGAAATGAAATGAAAATATATGAACAGAATTCGAAAGGTGAATAACTAATAAAGGAAATTCTTTCGTAGAATCCATAAGAATCTAATGAGACAATAAAAGTTATCTAAATTAATGAGTCAATATAGTAAACAGCTTGCTCAAGAATACGTCAGCTGAGATTAGAAAAGTACTCAATAAGCGAGACACCCCTATATCAATGACCTTTAAGACGTTTCAGATGACAAAGGTTCATGTGAAAGATAGGATGCCTCTAATTTCTAGTTTAAGAAAATTTGATAAACGGAATGTATGGTATGATACGGTGTATATGCAGAAAGCTATTCGCGAAATTCATACCAAAATAGACAAGAAAGGCGATACTCAGAGCTTCTAGTTTGTCAAACCTCTACACACACGCTACCACAAACCTTATTCGTCTTCAGTGAAGATTATACCAGAAACACATTTAGGAACCCCAACATATGATGTCTTCACTTGCAGACTCTGCCTAGAGTTACTTGCACCCTGATTCATCAGCTTTAATACTTTTCTCAACTAGTAATTAAATATTATGTAACCAGTCTCTACAAGGAAGTTCTAATATTGACCAAAGTTTTGTAAATAACATTTTAGTCATTTAAACTCAGGCACTATCATTTATTTACCTTTCAGTATTGCCTTGGTTACAAAGTTTCTGTGCATTTAGATAGACGGGAACACGTAGAAAACATCAAAAACCACCAATAACTCAACACATAATTGCAGTAATTCACTAGTTATGAGAATTGGTACATGGAATATAGATAATTCTGTATTTTATAAACACCTATTTGTCATACTGAAACCCACTTGCATGTATATGATAATATATCTTAGATCTGGTTATGACTATTCTCGTCTGGTAACAAGTTGTTTATAGTTTGCATAAATGCTATTCCCAGAGCTACTCAGGAAGTTCATAGTTCGCAGTTAATAAATGCTTTCACTCTACCTTCAACTATAAAGAAACGACGAGATTTATAGATAATAACGAAGTAGTGAGAGGCGAGAAAATTGTTCGGTAAAGTCATATGGTCTATTTTAAATATAATATGAGTGATCAGGATAGATTAGCTTTCTTTCGGTACATGAATAGTTACATTACTTTGATAAGAAAACACTAAGAATTGACAATGAAAAGGAATGAAAATGACGCCATAATAAAAACAATATGTGAACGTTGAAACAAAAGTTGTCTGATATGTAAAGTACAACAGAGCCGCCAAAATACTCGAAAAAAGCCTAAGATACAAATAACCGTTATGTTACAGACCAAGTACAGAAAATTCCATTGAGATCACGAACAAATCCAAGTGAGACAACCATTAAAAACCCAGAAGCACTGAAAGGTCGTTTAGTTTCAGTATGGGATTCAACAATCTCAGAATAATAAATACATGAAAGTTGGATATTCATGCAAAACTTTGATTAACAACAGTTGATTTTATACTTTGGCATCTGATCCATCAATAAACATTCTAAAATACTACACTCATTTAACATTGATGTAGGAGCCTTGTAGTAAATGAAACACTTATTCTTCGAATCAAAGTTAAGTTAGTTTCCCAGACCTATCAATCTAGTTGCATTGAATTCCTCGCTCGATTTTTTCATTACAAACTCTCAACTCGCCGAAGACAATATTGATCAAAGGCATCCGTACTGAGTACTTTAAATATAATTTTTTATGGCTGTAAGAAGTAACGGACAGTGTTTTTAATTTTTAGCTGATTACTTTGATTCTAAACAGAAAGCAAATGAAGTTAAACATCAACGTACTTGCTTTATTTAATACTGGTTTGGTTGGACTAGCTTTACTCTCCTCTATGGCATAAGGAATATAAGCATCAACAAGTTGTTGCCTTAAAACGTATAAAGCTTGATGACATAGGTTCTTATACGACTCCCAACGATCGATAGCCAGGTCAATAACTTCCTTATCAGTGTAAACACCAGCAGATCTGTTCAAAGAAAAAAATATCTATAAAATGAACATTTAATTAATGAAGTGGATGATTTACATCTAATTTGGCTAATCTATATCAAAAAAGACTATTTGCCTGCATATTCGTTTGTCAACTACCAATAAACATATATATTTACTAAAACCATATAATTATTTCACTACATAAATCGTAAACAAGCCAAAACTTTATTGGTACTGTAGTGAACAAGAACACCAGTGGGACAACTGATTTCCTTGAACCCTAAGTTACAGAATCTCTTAGTAAAATCTGAGAACCATAAAGTAAATAATTCATTTGCGAAATGTCAATCAATTGTCTCAGACTTAATTGTTTCTTCGTTTCCTCACCAATCATTCTTCGTTCTCGTTCTCTTTTCTTCGATCTCCTTAACCTCCTGCCACCCAAATTAGTCAACTGGATACATCTTAGCCTCAAAAATAAGATATACCTAAGCCAGTCAATCAGTCAGTAACAACGTAGAACTTCGTACGTACGTACATCAGTTCGAGTTGCCATACCACATTAGCACAGAGATGCAGTTGTCGATTCAAATCCCATAGTGGTAGAGGTAATAAGAGTATAAGCAGTAATCGGGAAGATTAGGGTTTGGAGATGTTATTTAAAGAGTATAATCCAGTGAAATAAATTTGGAAAGAGGAAAAAAGGGACATGAAGAATTCAGAAGATTAGAATTTGAGAGAACACAGAGAGTGGATGCACCTGCGCCATTGCAAACGATTTTGAGCCATGTCATTCAGGGCCTCTAACCATCGGTTGCTATCATCTCGCGGTCCCCAACCAGGTAGTCTACACCTACCAACATGACTCAGTTCACTTGTCAGTGACTTCATGGACTTGTGCCATGTTTTGGTTTGGCCGCCCCTAGCTTTCTTCCAACCTACTCCTATACCACTGAACATCGCACGTCGAGGCAGTCGGTCGTTGGGCATACGTAACACGTGTTCCAGCCATCTCAACTGATGAAGTTTCACTACTTCATCAATTGATTTGCCATCCTTACCTAGTACCCGTTTCCTAACAACTGTGTTACTTACTCGATGGTCCCATGATATACGAGCAATGTTTCGAAGACACCTATGATCAAATACTAGTAGCCTACGGATGTCCTCTACTCTTACCGGCCATGTTTCACTGCCATAAAGTAGGACGGAACGAACTGCTGCGCAGAAAACACGTCCTTCGGCTGATAGACGGATATCTCGCCTACGCCATAAATGACGCAAGTTGGCAAAAGCTAGTCGAGCCTTCTGTATCCGTGCTGAGATTTCGTCACACACCAGACCACAAGGGCTGATGAGACTTCCAAGATAAGTGAAGCGGTCAACACACTCAACAACTTCACTCCCTATCACTAGTTCGGGTGTCGATGTAACCCAATCCTGAAGCAACATTTTGCATTTCGAGGGAGAGAATCGCATCCCGAACATGCTTGCATTGTTGCTTAGAGTGGTCAGAAGACTCTGCATTTTGTCAGCGTCTTCACCAAATAAAACTATGTCATCTGCATATTCTAAGTCAACAAGTGAACCTCCTGGTAGAAGTTCAACCCCTGGAAATTTAGATGAGGAAAGTGTTATCTCTAAAAGTACGTCAATGACAAAGTTGAACAAGAATGGGGAGAGTGGACAGCCCTGACGAACACCACTTGAGGTAATCAATTCTGATGACAGTTCGCCATAAGCTCTCACTCTACCAGTTGTGTTCGAGTAGAGAGCCTGTATAAGGTTAATGTACTTCTTTGGTACTCCTTTCAGTGACAAACACTGCCATAGAACCTCACGATCAATAGAGTCGAATGCTGCCTTAAGATCGAGAAATACTACCATTGTGGGGCGTCTGAATGTGTGTCTGTGTTCTAGAACCTGACATAGTGTGAATATCTGATCTATACAACCACGTCCAGGTCGAAAACCAGCCTGGTTTTCTCTAGTCTGCTCTTCACGAGCTTTAGTTAGGCGTCGAAGTATTATTGAAGCTAATATTTTAGACACTATATTAGTCAAACTGATTCCTCTGTGATTGTCACAAGAGGACTTTTGTCCTTTCTTATAGACTGGCACAATCAGTGATTGAGACCAGTCAGATGGGATTACGTCCAGTTCCCAAATTCTACCTAAGACCTCGGTTAATCTCATTGCTAATACTGGACCACCATCCTTAAAAATCTCAGGAGTAAACCTGTCAGGGCCTGCTGCTCTCCCTCGTTTCAGATTTCTTATGGCTTTTTCAACTTCGTAAAGGGACGGAGGACCTACATTAACTTGCCATGCAGGTTGACTGGAGATCGCGGGAAACCGAAGTGTGGCTGAAGGCCAGTTGAACTGATCCCTAAAGTGTTCTGCCCATCGATCCAATCTCCTGGATTGAGAATGAATAATATGTACATCTTTCTCTGAGATTGTTTCGCTAACGGTCGGGTTCCTAATTCCGGTTTCCTTAACGAGTCTGAACAATTGTCTGCTATTACCTATTGCCGCTGCCTTTTCCATCTCTCTTGCTTTCGCTATACCTAAGCAGTTTGAGAATGATTAGTAAAGTTAGAGTTCAGAAGCTGTCATTGATTGGATAGCTTGCATATATTTTGAGATCAAAATGAAGGTGATTATAATCCCATCCTACCTCACTTAGTGTATTTTACACAAAAAAATGCTGTGAAAATATTGAGTGATGTTTTGATGAAAGCAATAAACAATAGAGTACTGCAACAATCTACTTTATACAATGACATAAATACTGATCATAACTTGTACTTAAAATGAAATGTAGTTCACAAGTTAATATGTAAATTACAAAACTTATTATAACCAACAGAAAAACAAATTACAAGTGCTAAAAACTTTGCTCACAGTGCAAGCATATTTCTATTTTTAAGCATTACATACACGTTTATCAGGAAGGAGAACTCTCAGAAATCACTAAACCACAATTTAATATCATTATATGCAGTAGATAAACGAAAAAAGCCAGATGTTTGCTTCTGTCAATAAATGAAGTTGAAACACCACCACGGAAGTGCGTAAGATTGATGGTACAATGCACGAGGAACTTCATATTGTCCGATATAAGAAAATGATCAACGACAAAAACTGCTTAGTATTTAAGCTTGGTTTTGAGTAAAATATTACAAAACTATTACAATATGATAATAATTCTCGGTAGTAGTGAAAGACCAATCCGTCAAACTCGCTTCCGGTAACTCTTGCCAATAACAAGAATATATTTAGTCATTGTTGTGAGTCTTTTCTCTCAGAAGTTGTGGTTTTCCACGACTGTTGATGTCTACTTTTTAATGACATTCCTCTTCTTGTTTTAGTTCTAGTCGGTCCGAATACTATATACGCATGTTTGCTTTTTGGGTTTCTCAGATCGTGTCATCACATTCTCGCAAGCATTTGCTTGGAGTCGCATTTTTCAAATACTTGATTTTGTTGTTTTTGATAGTTTTTTAAAAACATTTTTCACCGTCTTAAAAAGCATGGACAGTAAGTTAGGGTGAACTTATTTAGGGATCTTTCAAAATATCCCAAGACAGTACTGCTGGTGATTTTGGGTACCTGGGATAAAGAGTCAGTAAATTAACTTATGCTCTGCTTTAGGTTGTGACGCTTCTATTTTTGTAATACAAAAGGGCCACAAAAGTGAGATTTTTGTTTAGTATGATGATTAAACTTGGCCACCAGACCAAGTGAGTATACACAAATCAACAACATGACATGATTCGAAAACAAGGAATGATAAGACCTTGAGGTTTCGTTGATCAGTTAGTTTTTAGTGGGTTTTGTGTATAAAATGTCAGTATATATGATTACTCACTGAACAAACAATTTTGTCGATAAGTGGATATAATTCAAGAAATTCTAGCATTTTTGCTAACGTAACATTATTATGTCGGTAAGCTGTAATTTAAAATACAGTAGTTCGAACCAGAATCTAAGTAATATGATTCGAACCACACGGTGAAAGTCAGTGGTACAATCTGACTGGTCAAATAAAACGCAATATATTTTTCTTAAAGGTTCGGTTTATGTAATTATTTGCCAGCTAAAGTGAACATTCTGTTGCAACAAAAAAAACAATTTACAGTTATCATAATGGGCACTGGTTTTAAGGCAAGACCAAACAAGATAAATGTACATACTTCAGATAATGAAGCGGATACTTTTGAGGATGTGAATATCTGTGTGTATCCTTAATAGAATTAAGGTGTTTTTCTTCTGTTGGTTCACATAAAGGTGTAGAGGATAAAGTAGGATTCTCGGGATCCATACAGTGATCATCAGAAAGGCAAGAGGAAGATGAAGAAATGCTACCACCATCTGAAGACCAAGCATCTAACATATCCAAATGAGGATTATTTAAGTGAACATCCTGTTGACGTTCCCAGGCTTGAATTATGGATTGCTCAGCGGGATAAATTTGAGAAGCCTCACTTTTCCCATCATCAAGAGACATGAGTTTATTTGTAAGTTTAGTGTCAAGATTGTCACAAAAAGTCACTGGAATAGAGGGAAATATTATTCAATGTTAATGACTACAGAATAATAATTCGATATAGAACATCTAAAGTTTTTATTTCCAAACCAAACAAAAAATCAAAATATAAAATAGGATCCCGGGACCTAGTCGCATAATTACGGTATAAAGAGCAGTTATTATAAGGATAACAGACTAAAGATAATAGCTCCCAAGATAAAGAAGTGGACGACAATACAAATCAAGAGACAGAAATATTAGGGCTTTTTTACTACTCTGAGATACCAAGCCATGTTTATTCTGGGATTCATTCGGTGCATTGCCACACGGGCTCATAGGTATTTGTGTCGGAATCCACCTTATGGCTAGTTAACTGATTCATCTAGTCTAATAATATAAAATACATCTACCAGCTAAAATGTATCTAAAACTTCTTCGCACTTTGATGTAGATTGAAAAACACAAATCACTTGTATCTCCGCTGAGATTTTGCTAGCAAGCAACTTATTAAAGCTGATGAAATTCCTAAAGTAAGTGAAGTGGTCAGTCAATTCAACCATTTTATTTTTAGATGTCAAACTGAGTTCATATAAATTCAAAAGCGAAACTTTAGACCAAGGGGGGAATTGTATGATAATATTAACAATCCAGATTATTCGTTCCTCCCAGAAATGTAAACAAGATAAGGAAAGCAATATTTACAGAACATGACGAATTCGTTACTTTCTCTTTAGCGAAATATAAACTAGTTGTTTCTGACTGTCGATATGTTGAGTTGGGGAAGTGAATTGTCCATTAATAGCAGACGCTATCTGGGATGTTAATGGGGTTCTAATAAATCCTTAGAGTGACAAATCCAGAATATTTAAGTATTGGAAAAAATATCAAGACTTGGGAAAAAAGTTTATATCAAAATCATTGGGCTGCAATCAGTTACAGGAAGGAATAAGACCAATACACCCAGTTCGCTTTTATTATTAACGGAGCTGAGGGCTAATCACCAAACCATTTTAAACACAAAAGTCGAATTTAAAACATTTAACTGCTATGGCTTCCATGAATTATAATGAGGTAGTATTAGATCGTTTAGAAAACTTTGAAAGTATTTGCTGAATCCACTTTACGCTTCGCCTCTGGCAGGTGACGCGCCATCAAACTACGAAGGCCGTTTTGTCACAGTGAACGTAAGTTCTTGGGAATATCCAAATACATGTGAAAGCTTGTTGTCCTGCATTCCAGTGCACGTCCCTTTGTATATTTTGTATTTTTATCACCGAATGTTTCCCACAAGATTTATGACTTCATACTACTATAGTATTCAGCAACAGAGTTCATCATAACCTCTAGAGATGCCATTTTTTAAGGCAATAATTTATTACTGCATACGTCACTTTGGAATTCCTTGGTGAGCATAACTTTTTGGCTCAGTGATAAGGCGTTCTCAGTATATCATATCTGCACTTTCGGTTCAGTTATTTAGAAAGCTGTGTGTTGTCTGTCTTTGATCAACAAGACTGCCATCTACACATTCAAATCATCTAATTATTTGGTAGAAAAGGTCGTGGGAATTTATGGAAGAAAATTCAACCGCAAAAAGTACTTCAATTACGAATTTCGATGACGTAGATGTAGTAAACAACCTCAACATCCCAACTTTTGGACAGCATTGATCAAGTTAGGGTAATTTTGTTAGTCTCGTTGGAAATGTTGGGTGGGTTTTTTGAAAACGTGACAAGATTTACCCCAAAGTAAGACTTTCCCCATAATTAACACGACCGGAGTATTTTCAAAAACTTATCCAGGCCTGAATTTTCCCCCGAAATTCGCCCCAAACCACGTAGAAAACAAGCAGGGTTATTAGCTTGGAACACACGAAAAACTAGTCGTAACTACTTCATATATTAACTTAAGCAAACTTTTGAAGAATAACATATGATCAACGGGAAATTCGCAAACAACTCGCTTCCCAAATGTTTATTTCCATCACTGTAATGACAAAGTATTTACCTTTTAAACGTCACCGAGAAAACAACGAAAAAGTATGCTACAGCTGGTTCAGTGTTTTGAGGCCCTGAAGGCTCTGAATAAAATTTATATTATTCGAGTAACAGGAAATAGCTTTCTGTAAGAAACCAAAAAGCAAGTTGTTAGAAGCGTTTTGCAATTCACCTTAGAGTGAGTGGATAGAATATGCTAATCACCATATAGTGACTAAGCAAAATGTAGTTACCAAACCTCTGCCAAGATCCGATACTTAAGACATTGCAATTAATCAGAAAAGAGGAGACGGACTACTCTGAGCTAACCAAGTTAGTGATATAATGACCCACAAACGTCCTAACCACCTTTGAGTTACGAGCACAATGGAACATCGCGCCGTGCAATATCAGGATTAGATTAAATCCAAATTTAACCTGCTGTAGCCGAATACAAAAGCAATTTTCTTCTTCGAATCTGCCTCTAGGTAGTTGTGACGAGGTATGATCACTGGTATATTCATCGTTTAAACTGACAGGTAACGCAATTACGTTTAGTGATAGACATTTTCTACCAATTACACTTAGAGTGACACTGCCTGTAGCTCTTCTGAAGCTACTACCGGTCTTATGCCCATAAAGGAGGAGGGTTTGGCACAGAGTCGATAACGCTATCCGGTAGAAAACAATCTTACTTAAAACAAAGCCAGTGAGATTAAACTATTTAAATTTTGTACTGGGAGTCGAAGGAAGAATTGTGACACCTCATGATGAAAGCCGAAATTCTTCGGAAGTCACGAGGCCGATGCTCCTTCTAACAATCTGAGCAGCAACTTTTATGGGTACAGGAAACGTCCGGACAATGTGGGAGACAGAAGGGACTAGTTAAATAGCAACAGAAATGAGGAGATACAACTTGTCAGTGCTCGAAATTAGTAAGACCCATTGGACACAAGCTGGACAGCAAGGGCTAAACGCAAGAGAGATGCTACTGTACTCCGATCACGAAGAGTAAAATTCTCCACACACGCAGAGTGTTTCTCTGATGCTGTTCAAAGAAGCACGGAATGCACTCATAAGATGGGAATCTCACGGATCCAGGATCATCAAAGGATCCTTCAAAATAAAGTGGAAAGAATTCACTATGAGTGTTGTCCACTGTTGCTTGCCCACCAACGATAGCAATGACGACAATAAGGATTAGTTTTATGAACGGCTACAATCAGTCATAGAGAAATACTCAGGAAAGAACCTAACAATCCCACTGTTAGATCTTAACGCTAAAGTCGGACTGGACATAATCGGCTATCAAGATATCGTGGGACGACATGGACGGACGGGGAGAAAGGAACGGAAATGGCGGAAGATTTTCGAACCTACGTGCATTCAACAAAATGATTATAAGTGGTGCGATATCCCCACAAAAACATGTAAACCAAGCTACATAGGTCTCATCGGATCACACTATAGTGAATCAGATCGATCATATTTGCATCACTAAAATATTCAGAAGGCCAACGGAATACGTGGGATTACAATAAAACACACCCTTCCTTCAACATAATGACGAACTCAACCAATTCCACAGAGCTTTCAACAACAGCTTCCATGCCTTACAAGATCTACTCAAAGAAGAAGAAACTACTATTGAGAACAACTCAAAAGGAATCAGAGAAGCACTAACTTCAACATGTCAGGAGATAGTGGGTCACATAAGCATCATCATAAAGGATAAAACTCTATGGAATCCCTGGACAAGACTTAAGAAAGGAAGAACTAGAAGGCAGTAATTAACAACATATGAACAAGAACAGAGAAAGTTAAAACACAAGGTGAATACACCAAAGCAAACAAGCGAGTTGAGAAGAGCATTAGAGCTGACAAGTAGAAATATATGGAAGACTTAGCAACGACAGCGTAGAGGGAAATCGAAAATAACTAAATGACATGATGAAGAAACTGACAGAGAACTATAATAAACCAAAGTGTTCAGTCAAGGACAAAGAGGGTAAGCTATTCACTGAGATTCAGTAACAGAGAAACAGATGGGTGGAACACTTTGAAAATCTCTTGAATGGACCAGCCACATTGAACCAACCGGACATCAAAACAACATACACAGACATTCCTACAGATGTCACTCCACCAACGATCAAAGAGATCAGGATGGCCATCGTACAAATCAACAGTGGGAAATCAGCATGACCTGACAATATATCAGCCGAAGGACTTAAGTCACACAGAAGTAACTACACATGCTTCACGTTCTATTCAGGAAGATTTGTGAGGAAGAACAGGTGACAACAGACTGAGAAGAAAGACACGTCATCAATATATCAAAATAAAGAGATTTGAACAAATGTGTGGGCTCAGCTACAGAAGCACCAGAAAACGTCGTCCACAGAGTGTCACTGAACCGAATGAAGGTTTCAGTAAACATCCAGCTTCAAGATCTACAGGTCGGATTCCGTAAGGACCGGTTGTGCACAGACCGAATCGCGACACTACGCATCATCGTTGAACAATCAATTGAATTGAACTCGTCACCATACATCAAATTCCTTGACTATGAGAAGGCGTTTGACAGAGTGGATAGGAGAACCTTATGGATACTTCTCCAACACTACGGTGAACTTGAGAGAATCGTCGACATCATCCGGAATTCACACGACGAACTACACTGCAAAGTAGTGTATGGAGGACACCTTACAGATGCATTTCAATTAAGGACCGATGTCAGACAAGGCTTCGTACCATCGTCTTTTCTCTTTCTTCTGGCGGTCGACTAGATTATGAAGACCTGTAGAACTATGGTCTACCATGATATAAGTACTGCTCTAATGATAGACCTAATCCTAAAATTGTAGGTTTGTCATGATATAACTGTCTAACGTATAAGATCTTACGTGGAAGTCACATCATCGTCTACACGAACTCATTGTATTGTAACAACTACCAATACATGATGAAGAACAAGTTTAGGCTAGAGAAAGTACAATATAT